GTATAAAGACACATCTCTTAGCTTCCCTGGTAGCTCTCTTCCAGTTAGATCTAAGTGGAAATTTTATATGGAACTTCTGTTAAATCTCCTTAAGAGAAAGGGTGTGCCCTGACATTTCTCCTTCCTTCTATGTAGGATGTTCATAGAATGGCTAGAATCCAGCAGTCACCTTGGATTGTGAGGTAGCTGAGAATAATAGAGCAGAAAACAAACTACAGAGCTGTTATATATCAGGACTGTCTACCTCTGGACTTTTTTATGTGAGAATAAATAAACTTCAGTCTAGTTTAAATCATTGTTTGGAGTTTTTCTACTATATATGACCAAATCTAATCCTAATTAATATATTGGATAGGTGAAAGTACTACCTAGATACTAAACTGCAGGAGTAGTTATGTTCATAGAGAAAGGCACAAAGCTTGATACTAAAATATTTACAGAATGAAGGGGAGTGAATGGGTCTGAAAATATCTACAACCAGGAAAGATGGTGGCCAGTACTTCAGTGGAGTAGGAGGACTCGAGAAAGGAAAGAGAAACAGTGATGAGGATTGAAGAAGACACACTTTCTTTATATTAAGATCCTGACTTTTAAAAAGATGTATTTGTGTAAATAAGTTACAGACAGATGTGTTTCAAACCACAACAGGCGGTTAGATACCGTACTGCCACCCCCACGGCAGCTGAATTTAAGGTCTGAATTTCCAGGGACCCAAATGAAACACAGACACAACACTTTACCTTTAAACAAGCTTCAGGACGGCTCCTCCACTCTCGGCCAAGGGAAGAGCGAGGGGTAGTCACGAGAGGCTGGCAGGGGAGAGAACACGGTCCAAAGTGGGCATTTATTGGGAGAACCCTCATTCTTAGAAAGTTCCATCCAAAAAAGGTAAGAAGGGGCAGGGTTACCAGGGACAGGTGAGTGTCATTGGACCCAAGGGCTGTAGGGTGATGCCTATGTCTGAAGATACGTCCTCAAATTTCCAGGACTGGGGCAAAGTCCAAGTCACGATGAGAAGCAGTGATGATCAAAGCCTCTGCACTCCAGGACGGAGACACGAGTCAATCAGAGGCTGCCCCACCACGCTGACTCAGATCAGTGCTCTATTCCAGAATATCTTCTGAAAGAACATGTTTGCCCCACAGATATTTCAAAATGTTAAGCACCCTGATCTCCTTAATCATGTTTTCTAAAAGTGATATTCACTATTTTTTAAAAAATACCTTTATTTAATTTATTTATATGTGGTGCTGAGGATCAAACCCAGTGCTTCACACGTGCTGGGTGAGCACTCTGCCACTGAGCTACAACCCTAGTCCCCCATTGTTTAAATTTTTAAAATCCCAACCACTTTTATCTCCCATGTTACATATATTCATTCAATTAATTAATCTATGGAGGCTTCACTGGGTTCCAGGCACTATACTAGGCACTGGGAACACATAAATTAACTGCAAAGAAATCTGCCTCCCAAGAACTTATTAGTTCAAAGAGGAATCATGTGAGAGAACCACTTGTTACCACAGAGTTTGGTATTTAACAAATACCAACAGGTGTGATATTAACAGGTGTGTTAAAAGCACAGAGGAGCCCAGTATTTCATATTGGGGATCAGGAAGCTCTTCATGGAAGAGTTAACTGATGAACTGAATCTTGAAGATGATGGGGGTGTTATTTAGCTGAAGAATTTATTGAAATTACAACAAAAGAATACACTGAAGCATGAAAAATCATGCACTTTGGGAAATTTCAAGTAGGTAGCCTAGAGAGTGTTTATTACTATGTTAAGGTTAGCCAAAGTAACAAGGCAGGCTCAATATGAAGTAACATTACCTTACTTCTGTACGTAGCTGCCCTTAATATAAATCTTGCTTGTCGGGACTACTGGCTTCATGTTCTCAGATACAAGAAAACTTATCTAAGTGAATTGAAGAAATTGTCTTTGGACTTCGTATCACCATTTCTCAGTCAATACAATCACAGTTAATACTTACTCAGCAATGGAGGTGAAATTTGCTGTTGTAAGTTATGTTTTATTAAGTCAACTTAATTTGAGAGTAATCAGGTAAACATAGTAATGTAGATGAATGTATAGCCAATGTTGTTGTTCTGCTAAGAAAATTCCACTAGACTGTAGCTCTAGGTCAAATCCTGAATCAAATGAATACATTTCTTTTTTTTTTTCAAGTAATTTTTAAAATTTTAAAATAGTTTTTGATTTGGGGCAAGGGTTGTAACTCAGTGGTAGAGCACTTGCCTGGCATGCATGAGGCCCTGGGTTTGATCCTCAGCACCACATAAAAATAAATAAATAGAATAAAGGTATTGTGTCCAACTACAACTAAAAAATAAGTATTTTTTAAAACTAATTTTTTTTTAGTTGTAGATGGACACAATGTCTTTATTTTTATGTGGTGCTCAGGATTGAACTCAGAGCCTTGCACATGCTAGGTGAGCACTCTACCACTGAGCCACAACCCCAGCCCCCCAGAAATAGTTTTTAAGAAAGTTTGCAAAAATATTAAGAGTTCTTGAATACACCCACCTGGTTTTCCTTACTGTTGACACATTATTATGTCCATTTGTCACAATCATAAACCAACACTGACTTGTTATTATGGACCATAATGCTACTTTACTTACTCCCCAAGTTTTACTTCCTACCCTCTCTTCATTTAGATGACAGGCCCCCTTAGGCTCCTCTACACTGTGCTCAAAACTGCCTTGTTTCTGATGACCTGGACAGTGTTGAGGTGCTCAGGCAGTCTGTAGAATGTTCCTCAACTTGAGATTGTTGGTGCTTTTCTCCTGGTTGAGCTGGGCTATGGTTTAGGGGTGAGGGCCACAGGGGTAAGGGACCTTCCCGTCCTATCACAAGGGTGCCCATGGTCAGTATGACTTATGGCTGTCGATGTTGACCTTGGCCACCTGGCTGAAGTGGTCCGTGTTGAATTTTTCCACTGCAGTCACTCTCCCCGCTTTCCATGCTGTAAATTTTGAAAGGAAGTCGATCTATACCACCCACTTAGATAGTCGTGCTCTGTCTCCTTGAGAAGAGAGTGTCTCTATGAATCATTTGGAATTCTTTTGTAGAGGAGAGTTGTCTGTTCCATCTCATTTATTAATTTATTCAACCATTTACTTATATCACTATGGACTTGTGATTTTTTTATGTCTTTTTTCCTAATAGTAGGTCATTTATTTTATTGCTCAAATTTGTCCACTATTCGATGGCTCCTGTGTCCCCTTGACACATGCTTATTCAGAGAGCACTTCCTCACTCACTGGCATTACAAGGATGCATTTTTATTTGGTAACCAGATTTAATATAATTGGAGAATTTTTATATAAATATATAGACACATATACATGATCTTAATATAAAGAGCAAAATATATAAGTAGAATATATAAATAGAATATTAGCATGTTCATCAATACTAAAGCTTTGCATCTTGAGTTGTTTTGAGTGCAATATCCTATTCACATCTTGCATTCAGCTTAGTTTAGAAATCAAGCGATGATTTTTTTGGTAACCTTACATATTATATGTAGAATGAGAGAATCAAATCAATTTGAAAATACACACTTTAAAGAGGAAACTTGGGTGTTATTAGTGATAATTAGGGGATTATTAATTCAATACATTTACATCCTAAAAGAGGCAAGTTTATATTATAAAAGGAGAAAATTTAAGAAGCAAGAGACCTTCAATTTACCTTTTAAAAAATAACTTTATTTTATTTATTTAATTTAATGTGCTGTTGAGAATGGAACCCAGGGCCTCATTACCTAAGACAGCATTCCACCACTGAGCCACAACCAGCCTTCAATTTACTTGTTTTTTGGGGGGTGGGTGGGTACAGGGGATTGAACTCAGGGTCACTCAACCACTGAGCCACCCCCAGCCCTATTTTGTATTTTATTTAGAGACAGGCTCTCACTGAGTTGCTTACTGTCTTACTGTTGCTGGGCTGGTTTTGAACTCATGATCCTCCTGTCTCAGCCTCCCTAGCCACTGGATTATAGGCCAGTACCACTGTGCCCAGCTTCAATTTACTTTTGAACAAGAGTAACCTGTAGATTAAAAAATTCTAGATCTGGGGCTGGGGCTGGGGCTCAGTGGTAATGCACTTGCCTGGCATGTGTGAGGCACTGGGTTTGATTCTCAGCACTGTGTATAAATAAATAAAATAAAGGTATATCAATAACTAAGAAAAGATTTTAAAAACACTAGATCTACTTTAATAGATAACAAATCCCCTAAATCCTAAGGATTAGAGAAGGAAAAGACATAATACCAACTTTCAGTTCTCTAGTTCCGGAAAAGTAAATTAGGTGAAATGATAGGCAGCTATCCAAATAGCTATGTGATTAAGGACTTTTAACTCTCAAATTTCTAATTCTCTTATGTGTATTTATATTAGTTGGATGTGCTTTTACTTGTTCAAATTCATCCTGCAGGTAAGAAATTGGCAGCAATCCAAACTTAAAACCGTTGCACAGCAGCTATTTGTGACTATACCCTTGACGGGTGCTTCCAGTACCTTTCCGCACTGGAGTTCAGGTGCTAGACAGTGACAGTTTCTCATGAAACAAGAATAGCAAAACTTCAGCAGATGAGAAGACAGAATCGGCAGCAGCACTGGGATGTAAACCCAACTCCCTGCTTTCTATTTCTTTGCTCTGTTTTTCAGAACTACATAAGAAAAAGTGGTATTAGAATATTCCTACATTTTAGACAAAACCTCTTTGAATTCTTACTACTAGATTCTACTTGAAGAAATGGGAGAAAGAGTAAGAGGAGACAAAACACATTACACTTGTAGACTTCACTACCATAGTTGGCAGCTACTTTTTTCCTAAACTAAAAATCTGATTAGATCCAATCTAGGAACTAAGAGATCAAAAAAGATAGGACAGCTGCTTTAAAAAATCCCAGTTTTCTCAACCAAGTAGAACCCATGGGTAGATGTTAAATTATTAAAACAACCTATGAGCTTAGAAAATTGAAAGTAACTTCTTTATTAAGAAAATAAAGACATGTTGCTTAGGGTAAGGAGCAAAAGTGGCCAGTTTTTAGGATAGTGAGTAAAAAAAGATGTCTTATGTATCTGTATGTCTATCACAGACAAACGACTATTTCTATTCTCTCTCAGAAAATGTACAGTTTTAATATTAAAAACAAAAATTGAGCTTTTTAAATAGAAAATCAAATCCTATCAGAAGAATTACATGAAGTCAGTCATTTTAAAAAATTTTTTTAGTTGTAGGTGGACCCGAGACCTTTATTTATTTATTTTTATTTGGTGCTGAGGATTGCACCCAGCGCCTCACACGTGCCAGGCGAGCGCTGTTCCACTGAGCCACAGCCCCAGCCTGAAGTCAGCCATTTTTTTAGATGCTGATTTAGGATCCCCACCATAATATTTGATGATCAACAAGGCCACATGTCTGCTAAGGACATCATATAGAGATGACTAAAGACAGCCTGAGCTCACAGTCCAGGAATTACTGGAAGGAAAGAGTGACAGATTACAAGAGGAAGGAGCATGAACCAGCACAAATGAGAAGTCAGGACTTCATTGTAGGAAAAGGTGAAAAGAGGCTCAATGCTTCTGAAAGAGAAATAAAGGTAGCTTTCTGAGCAAAAGGGGGGTGAGCGTGCTCAGTTCTGTTAGGTCTGGAAGCCAGGGCACTGACAATGGGACGTCTAAAAATAAGCCACGATCACCGCAAAGAGAATGAGGGCCAGCATGAACCTGCCCAAGGCCACCGCGGACGCTGCGGAATCACTCTTGTCCATCACCCTTGTCTTCATGGGCTTCCTGATACGGTCATCTGTGGAAAGGATGGTCTTTCGAGCCCCAGCCCACTTTCCAGGGCCCCGTAGGCGAAACTGGGCTGGAGTACAAGGTCCCAAAAGTAACTGCAATGCTAGCTTGGGGTCAGTGAAGGCCAGAGACAGTGGACTAGGCCTGACTCCCAGCAGACCAGCAATCTCTTCCATGCTATCAATGTAGTCTCCCTGAATGGTATGGCGTTGGCTTTCCACGTACCTAAATCAGAGAAGACAGAAGCCATGGCCTATCAAAAAGGCCATTAACTAGTCGATCAATCAGCATACATATTGTATTGATTTTATACTGGGCACACCGTACTGATTTAAAAAAATTGTTTTAGTTGTTGATGAACCTTTATTCATTTATTTACATGTGGTGCTGAGATTTGAACCCAGTGCCTCATACATGCTTGGCAAGTGCTGTACCACTGAGCCACAGCCTCAGCTTGGATTGATTTTAAATTAGGCTACAAACTGTAGTAAATAGTGAAAAAAGATTTTTGTCACCATTCTTAGAGATCTGATAATACACCAGAAGAGATAAGATTGTTGTATACTAACAGAACATACAAGGGTTTTGCTAAATATTGTAGGTTTGACTGTTAAATAGAAATTTTAAAAAGGGTAGTTAAAAAAGGGCTACAGGTCTGGGGATGTGGCTCAAGCAGTAGCACGCTCGCCTGGCATGCGTGTAGCCCGGGTTCGATCCTCAGCACCACATACAAAGATGTTGTGTCTGCCGAAAACTAAAAAAAAATAAATAAATATTTTTTAAAAATTCTAAAAAAAAAAAAGAGGGCTATCATAGGTCACTGAAGATTTGAAAGATATAGATGAGAACAAAGAAAAAGTATTAAAAATCGGGGAACACAGCCAGGTGAAGGAATAAAACAGGAATGGGCATAAACGTCTGTGGTCGTGGCCTGAGTCAGCAGAAAACAAGACTGGACCACAGCACTGCAGACACAGAGGACTCTGACGAGAAGGAGGGAGTTCACCCCAAATCCTCAAGCATGGGAGGCCAGGGTGGTGAGATGGGTAGGGGGTGTCCACAGATCAGGGCTTCCCAGCGAAGATGTTAATTTGGAATCCTGAAAGGACGGGAGGGTGACCTGTCTCACAGAAGTGGCCCTCCCAGTGGAGCCAGATGGAGTGATGGTACCAAGTGCAGATTTGGAGAGCTAAAAAGACTTCTTAGTGAAAAAATAGTTGACAGTAAAGTATGTGGAAGAAGTGTGACCAGGAGACTTTCACTTTTTGTTCTCTATAATGAAAAGAAAGAACAATGGAACACAAAGCAAATAAGAGGAAAGTCTTTAAGCTAACTGAGGAATCCAAAAACAAAGACAGGAAACAAGGATTAGAAAATGAATTTTTGGTAGACTTCTTGAGGTGGAATTCTGGAGGAACTGATAGGTGGTCAAGTGGTACCTTATCAAAATGGGGCTGGAATTTTGAGGAGTTGAAACAGGAAAGAACCTGAGAGCTCTCCTTCCTGGAGATTATATTAACTCGGGCGTCGGCACACGTGCATTTACGTGTCTTATAATAGTAGGTCAAGTATCGGAGTTTTCATGAGGTTTCACAGCCTGCGGGGTGGTTAAGAGGATTAAATAAACCCCATGCCCATGAAACGCTGAATGTGAGCAAGCTGCCAACCCTCAGGAAAGTTCAGACTATGTCCTGGGGGACTGCTCACAATCAGAAGGTGGTTGGACAAGCTTAAGTGAAAAGAAAGAGAGCAGGAAAGTCCAAATAAGAGTTTGGTGCCAGAAAAGAAGGGAAAGAAAGCCTCCAGGAAGGGAAGACGCTTAGAAGTGCCAGCTCAGGAGTGAGAGCAAGGCACCTGGTCATGGATGACCCTCAGGGGAACGACGTGGGGAGCAAGGAGGAAGTTGGGAACACAGGGACTCGGGGAGGCAGAGGAGAGGCCTAGAGCAGAGGACGTAGGAACTTGGCCACAGACGTGCAGCAATGAAAGGGGAGGGAAATAGGAGAGCACCGGTAAGGAGAGAAGATGGAATGAAGTCACCTTCTCTCCTCCAAGGCAGGCCAGAGCCATGCTGTACAGTCAGTGGCGGAAACCACCATTTGGGGCCTGCAACAATCCATTTCCACATAAAAACAACCTGGGATCTGAGCTCAAGTTCTGAGATGCAGACTGCCACATCATTGTGTCCACAGAAGCAAAGCAGCCAGGGGATGTCACGGCTTTGCCAGGTCACACTGTGACCTGCGAGTGCGGTCCACCTCGTCAGGCCTGCAAGTCTACTTGGAACTTGAAATCACCGTTGACCGACCACACCCCTCCTTCCTTTGTAGCTCTGTTAACACTTCAAGTAACCCTCCCCCAAATAACACACCTGATTGTTTTCTCCAGGAGCTTTGTCCTGACTTTTAAGTCCTAAACTTAGCCTTCAGACCGCCTTTATGCACTTCCTTGAGTCTCCTCTCCTTTCCCATCCACAGTAAACTGCTAGTGCTAGTTCCCCCTTCTGTTGTCACCACTATCATTCCCCTCTTATCACAATATAACCAGGATTCTCAAATCAACAAGATGAAAGTAAGTGTAGGAGAGTATTGTTCTTATTAAGAATAAGTAGAAAAAGTTACACACATCTTCTTGGGAGAATTTCTTACCTTTTTGCCATTTCCTCTTGAGTCTTAGATATATCTGCCATCATTTCACTTTGTGAGGGCAATTTCTTTAGCCCTAAAGAGAAAATTTTAAATTTAAGTGTAAATTACCTCAATAGAAACAATGATCCTATTAATAATTACTGTGCTATGGAGAATTCAAAGAAATATAGGATGATTTTCTATACTCAAAGAGATTACAGTTTGCTTGATCACTTGATCTTGCCATGACCAAAATATAATAACTTGAGCATACCTCATCACAAAAACAGAAATCTTAAATGCTCCAACATTTTGTCCATGTTCAACACTCTTTGAACATGGACAAAATGCCCCAAGTAGAAAATTCTACACATGACCTCAAGATAGGTCATATCAAAACACAGGCACAATTTTATTGAATAAAATTACCCTCTGGCTGTATTGTGTAAGGTGTATATGAAAACTAAGTGAATTTCCTTTTTAGACTTGGGTTTCATCTCCAAGATAGGTCATTATGTATATGCAGATATTCCAAAAATCTGAAAATATATTAAGTTCAAAATACCTCTGGTCCTAAGGAATATTCACCGGTATCAGTACATGTAGTTTATTCTGCTTTGTCTTTGGAACATATTTACCGTACTCTGCCTTCCAACAAATACCTGCCTCCTCCCTAACATAGTCTTTGAATTGGTAAATTAAATTTGGGCACAAGGAAATGACAAATGGCCTTAAAAGCAAATGAAAAGTGAGGTACAAGGTCAAAAGGCAAGTCAGGTGTAGTGATGCATGCCTGTAATTCCAGCACTTGGGAGGCTGAAATTGGAGGATAACGTGGATCTAAAAGTTCAATCAGCTTGAGTGATATAGTAAAACCCCAACTCAAAAAAGGGAGGGGTGTAGAGGAACACCTGCACAGGTATCTTAATAACAAAAGTATTTTATACAAGAGAGAATAGAGGAAGTAAACATAAACGCTAATCACATTTTATGCTAAAATCCTATGGAAAGTAACCTTCACCTTATAACCTCTTCTATTTGATAAGAGTTTGTGTGTGTCTGTGTGTGGGGGGGAGGTAAGGCCAAAGGAACTCATATACCCAATCTTGACAAATAAAATTTAAACATTAATATAAAAACAGTTTCTGTACTATGATTTAAAACCAAGGACATGATTAGACAAAGGAAGAATCACTTTTAAGTCCATATAAACAACTCTAGCTCAAAAAATTAGCCTTTTGCCCAGATATACAGCCTTATGCCCAACCAGATATGTAGGCACTGTGCCATGTACAAAATTGAGCCACAATCCTAAAATGTTACTCTATAAAATTCTGGAATATAGAATTTCAGAATGGGAATGTGTCTTAGTACAATCCTTCTCTCTACAATACAATATCAAGTGGTCATCTCATTCTTCCTTAAAAGTATCTGGCCTTGAAGCTATTATGAAGACAAACACAATAAGTGTTGGCAAGGATGTGGGAGAAAAGGCACACTCATACACTGCTGGTGGACTGCAAATTGGTGCAGCCAGTATAGAAAGCAGTATGAAATTCCTTGGAAAACTTGGAATGGAACCACCATTTGACCCAGCTATCTCACTCCTCATTTTATACTCAAAGGACTTAAAAACAGCATACTACAGGGACATAACCACATCGATGTTTACAGCAGCACAATTCACAATAGCTAAACTGTGGAGCCAACCTAGAAGACCTTCAGTGAATGAATGGATTAAAAAATGTGGCACATACACACAATGGAATATTACTCAGCAATAAAAGAGAATAAAATTATGGCATTTGCAGGTAAATGGATGCAATTGGAGAAGATAATGCTAAGTGAAGTTAGCCAATCCCAAAAAACACAAATGCCAAATGTTTTCTCTGATATAAGGAGGCTGATTCATAGTGGGATAGGGAGAGGGAGCATGGGAGGAACAGACGAACTTTAGACAGGGCAGAGGGGTGGGAGGGGAAGGGAGGGGACAGGGGATTAGCAAGGACAGTGGAATGTGATAGACATCATTATCCAAAGTACATGTATGAAGACATGAATTGCTGTGAACATACTTTATACACAGAGATATGAAATATTGTTCTATATGTGTCATAAGAATTGTGATGCATTCCGCTGTCATGTATTTTAAAAACAGAAGCAACTAAAAAGAAAAAGAAAAAAAGATCTCTGGCCTTAGAGGTCTCACTACCTGCTAAGGAGATGATGTAACTGACTGATGTGGTTGCTGGAACATTACTTTTTGAACTGACCCCAAATATACTTCTATGCAACTTTTATCATTGGAACTAGTTCTTCCTTCTGGAGCCACTCAACTAAGTTTTGATACTTGACAGGACTTAAAATGTGAAAAGCACCTGTCATGACCACTTTAAGGCTTCTCATTATCAGGCTGACCAGCACGGGGTCCTACTGTAACACGTGTCATGTTCTCTGCCATTCTGGTGGCCCTTTTCTGGGCCTGATACGCCTCTGAAACACAGAAGTCAGAAATTCAACACTCAGAGCCTACTATGTTTTTTAATGTGTTTTCTTAATTTATGGGAATTATGACTTACAAATCAACAAGGAAGCATGGGAATGTTTCCTTTGAAATTAATCACAGATCTTTAGGGTGCTCAAGAAGTACGTTTGAGAGCTGATTTCCAATGACTTCTTACAGGGTACAGCCACCAGTCTGCAGTTATTAGCTGAAACTGTATGGAGGAGGGGGAGGAGGAGGAGGAGGAGGTCTATTTCTTGGTGGAGAGAGGCAGTCAGTTCATGAACTATTAAATGTGATGGGCAGATAAAGATATTTACAACGTTCTGTGATGAAGTTCTCTTTGAATTTATTAACTTTCAGTGTTACCTTGTTTAGACACATATTGTATCATATTTCTTATCTCCCTCCTTCAAATCATGCTCCCTTTATATGGACCAAAAAAAAAAAGTCTTGTCTTTTTTTTTAATGTTAAGCTGATATTATGCAACCTTCAAGATTTCATTCCTTGGTTCTAGTTTGACTCTTTGCTCGAGTAAGTAAGTCTAATTCTTATCCCATAGGTATCCTTCAAATATTTGAAGGGAACTCTTAGATCTCCCCCAGATCTTAACTTCTTTAGCCTAAACTTCTCCAGTAACTTCATTTGTATTTCAAATGATATGTTTTCACGTTCCGTAAACCATTTTCTCTCTCCTTACTCAGTGAGTTCCAGGTTCACTCTATAATGTCTTAGGTGGTAGTCTGACCACTTAGAGAACTGTCCCGAGGTTCTGAGACAGTGCTGGCTTGAATGAAGCCTTTTGGAACCCTCCTCACCCGCTGGCTCCTACTGTGCCTACTATCCCAAAGCTCCACGTTGTTTTCCCTCAGGTACTCCTGGCCAAAACTCTAAGGGGGGACATGCAGGGACGCGGGGTAGTAGGGATGTGAGGGTTTGAAAGTTGAATATTTTATATTCTGGATTATCTCCTACCAGGTGTTAACTTATTGTATGAATTAAGTCGCACCATTTCTATATTTGACATTCTCTGTAATGAAAGATGAAATTCTTTATTTCCCAAATACATACCAGTTGTCTAAAATTCAGAGGAGTGGATTCTAATCTGAAGTACACATTGGAATCTTCTGGAGAACAATTTTGTGCCTGCCCCTCCCAGATTTACTGAATAAGTATCACCATGGATGAGATCAAAGCATGCCTAAGCTGGGGAAATACCCAGGTGATTCTAAGGTATGTCCATGGTTATTTTACTACTTAGATTCACTTAAAAATAAGTTTTCTGGTACTAACTTTGTGCCAGATATTATGCAACCCTCAAGATTTTGGTCAAACATACTGCTATTTAAAAGCAAGCACAGAAACATAGTCAATCATCACCAAGTAATTAAGGAGTGGATTTTATTGTCACTTACCTTTAAATACTTGAGTGGCCCAGCGTCCTTGGAGCTCTGCAATCGGCATAATGGCTCCTAAGGGCTGAATCAAGCCTATGATTGCAAGAGTTGGCTTTTCTAGGTTGGGAGGGAAGACCTTTTTATATAGGGATATCTTATTTTTGACCACTTTGATAGAATCTTCCAGAAAAGGAAAGGCGAAGCTGTAGCCCGTGGCAAAGATAACAGCATCAATGTCATCCTCCCTAGAGCCATCCTCAAATACGGCAGCGGTCTCTGAGAATGCTTCCACGTTTCCCTTCACCTTCACCAAGCCAGAGAGTATGCGGTTGGGCAGATCGTCATTCACCGTTGGATGCTGGCTCAGAGCTCTGTGAGTGGCCATGAAGAGAAGGAGAAATGAGAGGGACCGAGAGCGGGAAAGAGGGGAGAGAGAAATAAACCCTGTAAGTAAATTTCTGCTTTGTGGAAAAGCAGAGAAATTTTAACCACCTCCACCTCCTTTGGTGGAGGTGGTTAAACAGTGTCCCCTCGGTTTACCCATGGAATTTGGAAAGTCCCACTTTACACCAGTTTTACTTTATATCAGCTTTTCAGGGCTCAAGGCTGAACGGCTGGACCCTGCAAGTCACTGAAGGGGAAGGTATTGGAGAAGTGAAGGATAAGAGTTTTTCGGAGGAGTGCATATGTGGTTGTTCATGTGATAGTAATGCTCCGTGGTGTCACAAGGCCACAGGACAGTCATTCCTGTCCACATATCAATCAGTCTGACAAAACTTGACTATTAATGTCCTGACCCATTTCTAATTCCAAAGAGGTAGACTTAGACTTTCATTTTCCAAACTGTGGAATAAATTACACATGTACAGCAAGTTAGAGTTCAAATTACATTTCCATGCATTCAGTTATTTGGCGGTCACATAACTCTATGAAGGGTAGGTGTCATTATCCAGGTTGTATAGGTGAAGAAACTGAGGTCTAGAGAGTTAAGTGACTTGACCAATGTTCTACAGCCTAGGATTTTAGAATTTCTGTAAAAATAGTTTTCTATACTCTCTTGGGATACTTTGGACCTAGAGACAGCATGGAATAAGGGTATCAAAATAAATAAGTCAGGTTTCCAGTATCTTGGGTCTGTAAAAACAAGTCTTGATTCCTGAACCTTGGGTCAGCAGGCTCCGAGACCCCTCTCCCCACGTCTTCCTGGCCTAGCCTCAGGAGTGTCACGTGTCTTACGACTACACCCGACTACACCCGAGCTGTGGAAGTCAATTTGCTTGGATCCGAACCTTCAGGAAGACAGTGTTCTGCATTCCAGCCTCATGGCTTCATCTTTCTCTCTAACTTACTGCTTTTCACTAGCGCGCCACCATCCACACAGTTGCCTAAGCCACAGAACTGTCTACTGTCTGCTCACCAAGCCTGTTTTCTTCCTCCCTTAAAAAAGAAGTCTGCCTAGAATAGTTTTGTCTACTAACTGTCTCACCTGAACAACACAGTTGTCTTTAGGGCTCCCCCATCTCCCCTCTATACCATTTGCCTTAGAATAAGAAGGGCAAATAAACATGATTTTAGGATCCTTGATTTAGAAAAGAAAAAAAAAGGTATAAAGAATATTGTTGGGTCAGGTGCAGTGACACATGCCTGGTCATTCTAAAATAGATTTATTATAGACTTATGATTACATCACTCGCTTGCTTAAATTTAACACGTCATTCACTTGAATGGATTTGCTGTCTTCATTCCAAACTTTTTTGTTTTTCCCCTGCCAGGGCTGAGGGCCGAACTCAGGGCCTCGTGCATTCTAGGCAAGCACTCTGCCACCGAGCTAAATCCTCAGCCCCCTATACTTTTTATTTAGCAGAGCATACAAAAGGTTTCATGCCTGATAGACCTAGAGATGTATTCAACTACTCTTCTAGCTTTGCCATATAGTCTAGCTATACCAGGCTATGTGCAGGTCTCGGGGCGTAATGTGCCTTTTGCTATTCTAACATATTACAATTAGAATGCTACATGCTGACCCAATTTGCCTACCTTTTATTATTCAATAAAACCTCAATTTGTTTTGCAACTACAAAACATATTCATGCTTAAATAATTGAATGAAAAGTTGTTGGGGAACACTGTGTCCAGGTACCATCCCACTAATTAATTTCAAGGGGAAAACTATCTTTGTACTGGAGAAACCTGGTACATGCCACTTTTTACACACAATCTTACACCATTAATATGAAATAAACTGGCATCATGTGGGTCCTGATGGGATTCTCCAAGAAGATAACATCCCTTAATGTAGTATATATGCCAGGATACAATGCAACTCAAAATTTAGAGATAGTCTACAAAAACCATGCCTTAGAAAGAAGAAAGAGGAGGAGGAAGAGGAAATAGGAAGAGGAGAGGAGGAAGAAGAAAGGAGGAAGAAGAGGAGAAGGAGAATAAAAGTCCATGTTTAAAAAAAATGAATGGCCAGGCATGGTGGTGCATGTCTACAATCCCAGTGACTCTAGAGGCTGAGGCAGAAGGGCCACAAGTTAGAGGACGGCCTCTAACTTGCCGAGACCTGTCTCAAAATAAAAACATTAAAAGAATTAGGGATGTAGCTGAATAGTAAAGCACTCCTGGGTTCGATTTCTAGTATGCAAAAAAAGGGAATAGAGAATTAGTATTTCAGATTAAAAAAGACATGACAACTAATGAAATGATGTGATTAACATTTTTTACAATAGAAAAAAAACTTATTATAAAGAAGACCATTAGGTTGGTTGCAGTGATGTACACCTGTAATCCCTTGGGAGGCTGAGACAGGAGGATTTCAAGATCTAGGCCAGCCTCAGCAATTTAGCAAGGCCCTAGGCAACTTAGTGAGACCCTGTATCAAAATAAAAAATAAAAAGGGCTGGGAAAAACTCAGTGATAAAGTGACCCTGGGTTCAATACCCAGTATCAAAATTAAAAAAGAAAATATTATTGGGATATCTGTAGAAATTTGAATGTGCCAACATTTTAGAAAATTATTTTATCAATGTTAAATTTCCCAAATGTGATCATTGTATTATGGCACGTAGGGGAATACCCTTTTTCTTGGGTATGTTTTAATGATTTTTACTTACTTTCAGAAAAAAGATATGTCCTTAAGTATGTGTATATGCTACATATTGTTTGGATCTATCTTCCATGAGGAAGGAGATAAAAAGAAAATATAGCAAACTCTATGACAGGTGAATCTAGGTAAAAGATATGACTTTTCTGAAGACGTGAACATTTTCAAAAACACAAGGCTGGAGAGAGAAGTCACGCAGAGTCAGTACCCAGGAGGCTTTCACACGCCCCCCTCTGCATGAGAGCCCACCCTCTGCTCCACTGCATCTGTGCATCTCTCTGTCATGTTCCCTTGTCTGTCTTCTCATTTGTATACTAACGTAAGACCTTTTCTGAAGTCTTCCATCTGTTACTCATGTTGATCTTGGGCAAATGACTTAGTTTCTCTAAGTTTTGATTTTTTATGTCTATAAAATGGATATAAAAATGGCATCAACCCATAGGGCCGTTTGGAGGATTAAATGAGATTATACACACACACACACACACACACACACACTCATTACTGTGCTTAACTTTAAAATGTCTTTGAAAAAGGCAAGGTATTATTTTTATTATTATGTCTTTCTCTCTGTATTTCATGCCCAACATAATGCCTTGCTCACAACAAACAGGTGCCCCATGTTTGTTGACTGACTGAATGAGGCACTGCCCCCTACTACCTTTTTATTGTTGTTGGGCACCATATAAAAAAAACTGATACCCCACAGAATAAGGAAATGGCTAATGCCAATGAGAATGAGTCACACAAACTTTAGACCAGCAGGTCTTGGTCTTCTGTGGTTGATAAGGTAAAGCGGCATTTCAGATTCCCTGGTTTCCTTAATGTCTGGGTGGAGGTAGCTGTCAGCCTGAGTGAACAGTCCTTGGGCCTTGGCTTTACCACCCCATTCCCATCTGAGCACATACCTGTGTTTAGGCTTCAGGCCAAACATTTCATGATCAAATCTTTGATTCAGACGTTTTTCCAAATATGCATTGGTCAATGCTTGACCGCATATCTTTGATAAACGATGCTGAAGTCGAGAAAGGTGTGCCACATCAAAAGGATATCCACGGTCCGCTACGCGATTCAGGATCCACGCGCCTCTCCTGGTGCTGAGGAACACCTAAGGCGTGGGAAACATGGTTTCCTGTTGTCATTCTGGCTCACACTCGGAAGCACGCTCACTTTCTTCACCATTAAGTTCATACTCACTAGTGTGGCGCTTTAGTTCTGTACAATCTTTTTAAATTTCCCTTCCCCAACGCCGTCCTAGAACATGCCCTGCTGCTGTCCAGCCCTGCACTTCTGTTCACAGCCAATGCGCCCATTCGTGTGCAAGATCCAGATCAAGTCCGCGTCCTCCATGAGAACCACACAGGAAACACTGACCTTTCAGGTTGGTAATGCTCTCTTCTTCTGAACTTCGCTAGCACTTACCACCTATGGACTCATTAAAACTCATGGAATAGGGGCTGGGCTTGTGGCTCAGTGGCAGAGCACTTGCCTGGCATGTGTGAGGCACTGGGTTTGATTCTCTCCATCACATAAAAATAAATAAAGTAAAAAGATATTGTGTCCATCTTAAAAAAAAAAAAGCGGGGGGTGCTGGGGACATGGCTCAGTGGTTAAGTGCCCCTGCGTCTGTGACAGTCAAGCCCAAGTGGCTCCAGTTTGTAAAACCACCATGCCAAGTAGAGAGGTCATGCCTAGCACAAGATGTTATTTTCCTTTTGCTATAGAAATCCTTAAGAACACGGAACTACCTAATGGGGCTTTGCTTCTGTAACTGGGGTGGCCTGACTGCACTCTCCCACTTCTGTAACCTGGCTGGCTTTCATTGGCTGGATCCCCAAACATCCCTGGTGTGGTTTTCAGGCCTATATGGAGTGCCCCTGCAATTGTCTGGGGCTGATCAGGGGAACAGCTTTATGTTCGGCCAGTTGCCACTGGTGTGCTTCAATAAAGGCTTGATTCAATTATATATGAGTGGTCTGGGTCAATTTGTGAATCCCCGGGACAGTGTTTTAACTGTAACAGGTTCAATCCCCAGTACCCTCACCCCCAAAAAATCATGTAATGATAAAACTGAAAACTGGAGATCATTTAGCCCAAAACTCCAGTCTTTTTGTCTTTGACATTGTTGCATTGTTATGAACTATGATTTACCATTTATATCATTTATATGATGTGAAGCTTTCTGTGTCATAATCTGTCTCTCCAGTTGTGTCCAATGGTGCTCTCCACAGTGGGAGGGTTAGCCTGCACCTCTCCGTCTCCCCAGCACATCATCATTACTTTCCTTTACTGGGACTTGTGACCTGTAATTCCGTGTACTAAGTCCTTTGTATTCTTTTTTTCTGAGGAGCTGGGGATCAAACTCAGGCCGAATGCATGCTTAGCAAAGGCACTACCACAGAGCTACATCCTTAGCCCTTTTTTTTAAAAAAAAAAATTCTTATTTTACTTTGATATAGGGTCTCTCTAAGTTGTTCAGGTTGGCCTCAAATTTGCAAACTTCCTGCCTTAGCTTCCTGAGTAGCTGACATTACAGGCATGAGACACTAACCATTTTACAATGTTAACACAACAACCCCTTGAGGAAGCCAGTATCATCCTCATTTTATGGGTGAGGGACATCGGGAAGATGAAAAATTTGCCAAAGATCATAGAGCTATTGACAGGCAAACTGATGTTTCAATGCACATCTGACCAATTCTAAATCCTGTTAAGAGATGTTCTATTGATTATTGAATAGGAGAAAATAAAGATTGCTAGTAGAACTACAGGAGATTGTTCAGTACTTCTTTGTTCTTTCCTGGCTAAATGTACATGTTCAGAACGGATTAAGGCTGATATTCAGTTACCTGGCAGAGGTATCAGGACATTTTCAACTTTACACAACCCCGGAAGAAGTTTCTGGTAAATAAGTTTTTACGGTAAATAAGTATATTGTTTCATAGTCTTAAGCTCTCATGTAAAAAGACACCTGTCTACAAAGTGTGATTCTTTACTTCACACATATATCCTCACAGAGAGGAACCTTCAGCACTATCAGAGTTAGGTGCTTTTACCTGTCACAGTGGAAGTACCTGCATGGTCTTGGGATCCACATGATTTAGGGTGAAGCTTATAGCCTTGATTAAAAGGTTCCCTATCGATGAGATAGTTACAACACATCCATCCCAAGACCGCTGTGATGATTTTTATAGAAAAGTGTGGCATACCATAAACACTGAATAAATGCTTAATGGCTGTCATATTTATTTTAGCTTTTCCATCAATGCCTCACGCATACTAGGCAAGCACTCTACCACTTATTTTAAGCAAACAAAATATTTATAAATCTGGCTTATAAGAAAAACATAAGAAAAATGGTTAAGTCAATATAATCGTGTATGAAATCAACCTGACGAGAAAGGGATGCTTTCACAAAATCATCATACCACAAGGGTCATACCAAAGTTTCCTTATGCACTGAGATTAATAGATCCACTTGCAAATTTTGACTCCCCAAATTTCTCTTTTATACATTTTAATACGTAAAGCAAAAAGCTAGAACTCAGCAATTAAATTTCTTCAGTTTGCATTAGTGCTGGGAGGGTTGCCCCCTATGCAGATGTGATTTTGCTGTTTTCCCAGGACTTTCTCACAAACATGGCTGCCTTATCTCCACACCCTGAATATTTTGTTCCTGGGAAATTTTAATTCCACAATGCAGGTTAGATCAGCTCCCTTAGAAATGACCACTCGACAAGCCAAGATATGAAAGAAGACTTTTGCATGGATCCCCACTACTTACAAGGTACATCCTTCAACCACGTGTGTTTTTTACTCTTTCTTGTTTATATAATTACTTCCTAATAAGTGTTTGTGGAATTAATTCATGGAATAACATATGAGATCACTTATATATTGATAGATGAAAATAGTACTGAGAAGTTATTGGAAACACGTTGCTGGACAAGGGTCATTTAACAAAATTGTGTCATTAAGCCTGTGGGTTTTTTAAAAATATTTTTTTAGTTGTAGATGGACACAATACCTTTATTTTATTTGTTTATTTGTATGTGGTGCCTCATGCATGCTAGGCAAGTGCTCTACCACTGAGCACAACCCCATAGTATTAGAGAAGCATAGCATAATTAAAGTTACTGAAGAACAACCAGGCATTTACCTATTGCTAATAAAGTTATGATTCAATGAAGACAAAAAAATGTAATAATGACATGCCTTTTTCTAGGATTTTACAGTGAAGACAGTTTCTTCAAAGCTCAAAATCTATGATACAGAAACCAAAACAAACAAAACAAAAAACCAAGGAGACAGAACTTGATTTGGAGTGACTCTCCTTCTGTGCTACCTAACTGCAGGCAACAGCTGGCACAAGCTGTCACATAAGCTACTACACAGACACTCTTTATGCTGATGTCGACATTGTTTTTGGAAAGATTTAGATTGTTTCTTTTTTTCCCATTTGGGGGGCAAAAAGGAAATTCACCCACCATCCTGTTAATGAAAAGTTTTCAACGGCCACAGTGTGCTGTCCACATGTGTATCTGAACACATTTCTCCTGGCCAGTGGACGGTCCACACTGTCACTGCTGCACTCTCACAACCTCTTCCAGCAATACTCGGCTTCCTCAAAGCCAGGGAAAGGCCAACTGGGATTGTGGGTGCACCCTGAAGCCGTGCACTTGGCTTCCTCAAAGCCAGGGAAAGGCCAACTGGGATTGTGGGTGCACCCTGAAGCCGTGAACTTATTCCTTAGTACGAAGCCAAGTGAGTAATGGAACCCAACCCTAACGGCGCCTCTCCAGTAGCACCCATCATAATGCCAACGGAGGCATGAGACCAAGGCCTGTATTTGCCACCGGCACTAGTGGGCCTATCTCCTGGGTGAGGCTGCACATAGAACGGCTCGAACCTGCTTGGCTGTGTGGCTGATCTCTACAGCCAGATCCCCTCCGGAATTCCCAATGCCAATTATGATGACTCTTTTTCCAGCAAATGCCTCGGGGTTTTTATAGTCTCGACTGTGGAAATACTGTCCTTTGAACTTCTCAATTCCTGCAAGAGAACGGAAAATAATTATTGGATGATAGTTTATAAGTTGGATATCATTTGTAAAATCTTTCTTTTGTAGAATTTAAAGTTGAAGCACATATTCTCCACATATTCTCCCTTTATTCAGCTACTTTCGTCTTCTTGAATACTTTGGCTTATTTTTTTCTTCCATAGCCTTGGAATAGTAATTTGTGATTCCTGTACCATAAGTAGTTTGTATTTTGGATTTGTAGACCCACAAATTCAAACTGCTGCCATTCTCTTTTGTCTTTCATTCCCTTAGTTACATACTCCCACTTCAATTAGAGTATATATGTTTTTGTATACTCTAGGAGATACATAAAGTACGTTTTCTAAAAAAAAAAAAAAAGTTCAGGCCCCAAATTGAAACTAAATTATTCAAGCTTTCATTTAAGCATTAGAAACTCAATATTTGTTTGTTTCCTCAATTACTGAGAAATTCCATATCTGAACCAATACTGAGTAAGAGCTCCACGGTCTTCTTTTTTGATCCTAAGGAAACATGGTGGAATGAGATGGACATCATTACCCGAGGTACATGTGTGGCTGCACATGGTGTGATGCTACATCATATGCAACCAGAGAAATGAAAAGTTGTACTGTACAATGAATCAAAATGCATTCTGCAGTCATATATACCTAATTAAAATAAATTAATTAATTAAAAATAAAAAAGAAAACCAAAGTCATTATGAAACTAAATACAATCATGTGCCACTTGAAAGAAATATATACATTCTGAAAATGTTACTGTAATTTTGGTCTCATCATTGTGAAAAAATCACAGAGTACTCACACAGCCCATATTGTATGGGCCAGTCCCTCAGTATATGATGCCATCAAGACCCACAATAAACAGGAGGCCTGTGAAGCTATCGCTGGTGACATGGCAGACAGTTGTACAGTAAAGTTTCCTAGAAGTCGTAGGAGCACACACTAAGAGAAATGTAATACATAAACCACGACACAGTTGTTTGTCAGTATCACGTAGCACACACACAATTGTATGGGCTGTGACCTTGCACAATGGACCGCACACAGGGCTTTGTGCATCAGTGTCACCGCGGTGTGGTGCTGGTCAGGACACTACTCAGCAATAGAAGACTTCCAGTGCCCTCATCATCTCATGGGATCATCCTTCTATATGTACTCCAACCTTGCCTGAAATGTCATTATGTGGTGGCATGATTGTTCTCAGACCTCTAAACTCTAAAATCACCATTAACTCTAGTCCCCAAATGGCGATGACACAGGTTATTCCATCCTCAAGGGAACATGCCTAATGAGGGTCTTACTCCACCCCAAGGTAAAAATCACTCAGACCACAACCCTTCTATTCCTCAGGGTCCCAGGCCTGGCTCCAGGGTCGCCTCCTTCCTGGAAGGTCACTCACCTGGAAAGCTTTCCAGGGGCAAGTGAGCGTTAGTGTGATGGCCAGTGCAAACCATGACTCCATCAAAGACATCAACCTCCTTTTTTCCGTCACACTCGGTGACCACCTCCCATTGTCCTGAAGTAGAGAAATCAGGCCGCTTCTTCACACTGCACACAGTGGTCTGAAAGAAAAGTGACATACACCGGGCACTCAACCACAGCCTGCGCAGTGGATATCAGCCCTGACATGGCTTTTCCTGTTACCCCACGGGCTGGTACCACAGTGCCATCTCATCATTAGGGTGCTTGCAGGAATGCTTGATTTTCATACTCCACAAAGAACAGCCTTGTCTGGGGCCGTGGTCTGAGTGAGAAACCATAAGGCAGACAAAGTAAGCAGAGTGGACAGACCAATGTACTCTCCTCTGCTTCTAGAAAGGTAGAAATTGGTAGGACTCTTAGTCTCTACCTTGAGGCATGGTAGCACCTGAAAAAGCCTGGATTTCTCCTGTACTTCTGTGGCACTCTGCACTAAACACCTGTCCCCCCTCTAACCCCAGACTCCCCAAACTCTCTGATGTCTTCTTACTCCCAAGTCCTGTTCTCTTTGGCTAGACTTAAACTTGTGACTATGAGGCTACCTTTCCTGTTAGAGCAGGAACCTATCTCAGTGGCTCTTATTTTCTGTAAAGGAATCTCTGCCTTGTAAATATGCCCACTTCACAAGTTATTCTAAAGAAATAGGTTGTGAGATAGAGTAGTCAGTGGAATAATTTTTAGCTTTTCAAAAAAAAAAACAATAAATATAGGTGACTCTGCCCAGCCAGGGAAACGTCAAGAATGCATTCCCGTGTGCTTCTAGGGTCTGGCTTGATGTCTTGGTGACTGACAGGAGCACTGTCTAGGCGTCAACCGTCCGGTGCCATTTCCAGTCCCTGCCATGTGTTTTCACACAAGCTGGTGCTTCTACTTGGTCACCCTTTTATTCCTTCTTCATCTGAAGACTGCTTCCTACTGAAGACTTGGCTTGGACACTGTCTTCTCCAAAAACCTTTCCTGGAACTTGACTCCTCGGCCCTGATGGCTAAACATCCCCCTTCTGAGCTGCAGGTGTAGCCTCCATGGTACTCGCCACTTGGCTTGTTCCTTCTATGTATGATAACAATTTCCTTCATTTTTCTGCGTCCTTGATGTAGACTGTTAAGTTACGGCTTCTGTCTTTGCATCATCACTGCTTAGTACAGTGACAAACTTGTTCAACAAGTGTCACCTAAACAAGTGAAGAGAGGCACCACTGGGCTATGAATAAGTGGCTTTGGAAATTGTCACCAGACGTTGCCACTTTGTTATTGTTGCTAAACAAAAACGTGGAAGGTTTGGGCTCTGGGCCAGGTGATGTAATATGGCCATGGTTATAAACTACGGGAAAGTCACAGCAGACTTTAGAGAAGGAAGGAACCTCATACAGTACAACCATCTTCTTTCACAGAAAAGAGAATCAAGATAAGTTCAAGTTGAGAAATTACTGGTCTTAGGTCACTAACGAGGGGCAAGAACAAGGGCCAGAATTCAGGACTTTGTTTCCCACTTCAATATTCTACTCTCTCCACCCGATTCAACTCCTTTGCTTCCTCGATAACTTCCCAGTCACTAAGTACTTCACCAGGTTGTGATGATCACATAAAATAACATATTGGAAAGTGCTTCAGAGAGTGTAAAAGAATTAAGCAGGAGTGGACAGGTTGTGGGACAGGAGGGTTTCAAGTTCCCACACTTATTCATCCCCTCATCTCCTTGATTGTAAGCAGGGAGTGTGGAATGAAGGCAATGGAAACACTCTGGCAGGTATCTTTCTGAATCTGCAGCCAGAATATGTAAAAGAGAGCTTTCCATGGGCGTTTCAGAGAGAGGAAACCCAGAGTGGGGTCTTGAGCATATCGCTCCAGTATTTACATGTGCTACTGGTTAATGAAACCACGCTCTCCACCTACTTGATGAACAACTTCACACCAAGACACCCACAAACTGCCTACCTTGAACTGGATATACTTTAAAAGGTCGAAGTCCTTGGCATACATCCTGAAGTACTCTAGGATCTGGGAATTGTGCATGAAGTTAGGGTAATGATCCGGGACGGGGTAGTCACTGAAGCACATCATCTCCTTAGAAGTGTTGATGATCACTGATTTGTAGATACTGGCTCTTCCTTCTTCAGGGTTTTCCTGTAGTAAATAAGAACAACTTGAGAATTAATTTCATGATTTATAAAATAGCCAATGAATAGTTGAAGAAATTTCCTGAAATAAATGACAATTCAAACAAATGACACACATGCATGGCCTCCACACCTCCCCCTGTTCTTGTGCCCCTGTGTAGTTCCTTCCCCTTGAATCTCAGTTATCTTTATGACTTGTTTTGACCAACAGGATACAGTCGAAATGGCACTGAATGACTTTAAATTGTAGTCATGCTTTTTTCCAGAGTATCTAAAATTACAAATAGCCCTCAAAAAATGTTTAATAAATGTATGTCAGATTGAATTGAGAAAGGAATGCATAGAAAAAGCAAATTTCACATAAAACATAACAAATTAATGAAATGAATAAAAATTATTTCAAAACAATGTGAATGAGACATCTATCTCATTTTTGAAACTTTTAAAGGAAAATTGTGGAATAATATAAAAGTCAAATGCAAAAAGATACCACTTCATATTATTTAAATTAATTATTATTTAATTAAGTTTGTATTAGTTAATAGTAACTTAAAACATCCCCAAATCTCCGAGTGGTTTAGTTATGTTACAGTATCTCAACGTGAAGTACAATCTGTCCTTGACACTATTCCACAGGTATCCTGCTGAATACAAAGAACATCCCGTTACTCCACTGCTCATTGGCTTCTATTCCTTCTGGAAACCAACCTACTTATTCTAAAATTTAGCACTTTTCACATCTAGCCCACTATGGCTTTTAATCTTCATTCAGTGTTCCCCTTAACAAATCCCATATTCCTGAGTCATTAAATTATTAGCTGAAATAATGTAGGCTCTTTCACAACTTAAAACTTTTGTGCATATCACTACTTCTTGAAGAATTCCTACCTTCATTTAAGTTATATCAAATGTTACTTTTTTGAGGAAGACTTTCCTGTAGTTCCATTGATCCTCCAAGTCCCCAAACCTTTCAATTCATATTGCTATAAAAGCAATGTAAACAGATTATATCATTCTGCATTTGTTTCCATGATTGTAAGGGATCTGAGGGTAGTGTACATGCCTTATTATTCTTTATATTTCTGTCAACAACGCAGTACCTGATATATAGTGAATGATTAATGAACGCTTAGGAATGAATTAGTTATATAATTATGAGAATGAATCTAGAGAAAGCAAAATTATGATGTCATTTCTTCCTAACTTGATCTATAGATGCAATGCAATCCCAATCAAATCTCTGCAAGCTACATTTTAGTCATCAACAAACTGATTCTAAAGTTTCTGTGGGAAGACAGAAGTCTAAAAATAGCTGATTTTGTCCTTAAGTATAGGCTGTGCATAATAAGCTTTCTTCAAAGAGTTGAGTATAGCAAAGCAAGAGAGATAAAAGGGATAAAGTTTACTCTGGCAAAATCTGACAAACTCCACTTCAGGGAAGGCATCACTATTGACAAAATAATGATAAGGCTTGCTGACAGAAGGCATCTTTGAAATGATATCATGAGAGTGGTATTACCTTTTCAGCATTACTCTCAAAAACCCTATAACCTCAGTAACCATGAGAAAACAGCAGACCAAGCTCAATTGAAAGATAATCTAAAAAATACTGACCAGTGCTCCTCAAAACTGCCAAGTCATCAAAACCTAGGAAAGTCTAAAATAACTGTCACAGTCAAGGGGAGCATTAAATGTAATGTACTGTCCTGGATGGGACCCTGGAACAGAAAGAGGTCACTGAGGGAAAAGTGGGTGATTCTGAAGAAGAACGGGCCATCCATGTTGCTGCAGGAGTGCTGTGGGGAAGATACCTGTGGGTAGCTCCGAGAACTGAAAGACCAGCCTCTGTGGCCACCATGGCTCCCAAGAGCGTCTCCCCAGTCTGTTATAGACTCCATTCTATTTCCAGACTGACTCAGCAAGGGAACCTACCAGCCAGTGAAAAGTGGAGCCTAAGGGGCCAGCTGGTCTGGGGTTTTCAAAGCACAAGTGTACCCAGAACAAGACAAAAATGATACAGAAAGAAAAGACCCCCTCAAAAACAAGAATCTCCACCACAAGACTTCTAGGACTAGTAAATTAAGCAAAGTAACAGGTTCCAAAATGAAAATACAAAATTAACAGTTTTCCTACACACCAATAATGAATTAACTGAAAAAAAATCAGGAAAACATTTCCAACAATAGCTTAAAAAAAAAAAAAAGCAAAAGCAAAGAAAAACAACTCTAGGAATAAATCTAACCAGGAAGGTAGAAGCGCTCCACAGTGAGAACTCTAGTGCACTGCAGGAAGACACGGAAGACTGCACTGCAACACGGAAAGACCCCCATGTCCTGGTGGGATTCATGTGTTACATGGTCATATTCCCAAAAGTGAGATTCAGTGCGATTCTTATCAGAATACAATGGCACTCTTCACCCTCTAAATTCACGAGGAAGAATATAAGACCCAGAATCTCTCAAGTAATGCTTAGCCATAAAGCCATGCTGGAGACACCACAATTCCCAAGTTTCAAATCATACCTCCTAGCTATAATATTAAAGATAGTGTGGTCTGGCGTACAGACAGACATGGAGGCCAGGGAACAGAGAAGGAATAGACAGACCCACACAGATACGGTCAGCTGGTATTTGACAAAAGTGCCAAGAACACAAGTTGGAGAAAAGACAGCCTTTAAAAAAATGGTACTAAAAAACATGATGTCCAAATGTAGAGGAATGGAACTAGATCCTTATCTATCAGCTGCACAAAAGGGACTTGAAGTGAACCAGAAACTGAGGAAGAGGTCCAATAACTCCGTAACTACTAAAAGAAAGCAGAGTCAACACTCCAACACAGGCTCAGACAACAATTCCCTCAGACTCCTTGGGAAACACCCAAGAGCTAACACGAGGGAGGACATCCAGTTCCAAAGCCTCCGTACGTCACAGGGAAAAGAAGTGTGGAGAGAGAGCCCACGGAATGGGAGGACATCTTTGCCAGCTACGCTTTTGACAGAGAATTAATATCCCAGATATATAAAGAATTTTAAAAAACACCCAAAAATAATAACCCAGTTAATAAATGGGCAGATAAGCTAAACAGACATTTCTCAAAAGAAGAAATACAAATGAATAACTAATGTCTGTAAAACTGTTCAAAATCTTTAGCCATCAAGAAAATGAAAATCAAAACTACACCAAGATTTTGTTTCACTCTAGTTAGAAAGGTATTCATCAAAAATACAAATAATAATAAATGCTTGCAAGAATGTGGGGAAAAAAGAAATCTTTATACATTGTTAGTTAGTACAACCACTAAGAAAATCAGTATGGAGTTTCCTCAAAAGTCTAGGAATGGAATCACCATATAGCTCAGCGATACCACTCCTTAGTATTTATCCAGAAAAATTAAATACTACAGTGATAGACGCATACCCATTCATTGCAGCACAATTCACAATAACCAAATTATGGAATCAGCTTAGGTGTCCATCCACAGGTGAATAGACAGAGAAAATGTGGCAGACGTACACAATGGAGTTTTATTCAGTCATAAGAAAGATGAAATTATGTCATTTGTAGGAAAATGGATGGAACTAGAGAAAATCAGGCTAAGTGAAGAAAGTTAGACTCAGAGAGTCATGTTTTCTCTCCTGTGTGGAAGCGGGAGTGAAAAGGGAGGGAAGGGAGTAGACCAGTGTGGTAGAGAGGGGAAGGCAAGAGGAGGTACCGGGGAATGAAACTGACCAAATCATGCTATGTGCAGGTGCAGATTCATCACACTGGATCTCACTGTTATGGATAATTATAATGGTCAATAATTTTTTTTCTGCTTCTTTTGTGGCACTGGGAATCGAACTCAGGGCCTTGAACACGCTAGGCAAGCACTACCTCTGACTTATAGTCCCAGTTTGCCAATTAAAAATAAATAAATAAAGGGCTGGGGATGTAGCTCAGTGGTAGAATGTTTGCCTAGCATGCCCTCTACCACGCAGCCTGCGCAGTGGTTTCATTAATGAGGTTCTAGGCATAAAGTTAGTTAGAAGAGATCGAAATAAAAACACAGACTCAGTTACCTTATTTCTATTGCTAGGTCCGAGACGGCTCCCCTCTCTGGTTCGCTCCTCTAAACTGCCCAGCAGGGCAGCAGGGATTACTCAGGGCTAGCAGGAGAGAGAGAGCGCGAGCACGCCCGGGGATCAGCCTTTTATTGGGGAACAAGAGATTCAGGGGAGAATTCCATCCAATGAAGGTTGAGGGGGGCTGCACTCCAAGGTCAGGGTCAGTGATGGGGTCCCCGGGGTCAGTGGTCAGGCACACCCCCACACGGATGGGCTCTCTCATCAGGAAAGGGTCAGGCCCTTAACGGGAGTCGCTCAATCACGTGTTAGAATGGCTTCCCACAATGCCCGAAGCACTGGGCTCAATCCCCAGCACCTCCAAAAGCAAAACAACAACAAAACCAGCTATGCAGTATAAGACTACAATATGGATATATGTTATTATACATTTATGCAAACCCATAGAATATGCAAAACCAATAGTGAACCTTCCTGTAAACCAAGAGCTGTGAATGATGGATAATCTGTAGCACACTACAGGGGAGGACGATAATGAGGCAAGCTGTGCACCTAAAAAGGCAGAAGCTCAATTTTGTATGAACTTAAAACTTATCTAAAAATAAAGCATATTAAAGCATTTTTAAAAAAGAGGAAGGAGAGGACATGAGGGAGTGAGTTGGAGAGGACATGAGGGAGTGAGTTGGAGCTGAATGGGCTGGAGGGGTAGAAGGTACAACAAGGGGGAGGGAGGAATGAGGACAGCGTGGGTGTCCCTGTGGTGCTCCACAAACCCCACGCACAGGCGCGCTGTTTGAATGGCATTTCCCAGTCCTGGTGTCTGCACACGGAAATCAGATGGAGAACTTTTCAAGAAACATAGAGCCTGGGCTCTCGTCCTAGGAATTCTTCTGAGTGCTGCCTGTCTAATGTGACGACAAGTCTGAGAACTGCCGGTCAGAGGCAGTGTGCTGGCCCTGGAGAGCTCACAGCCACTCACTCCGTCAACTGCAAGTCCTTTCTGCAATCACCCTCAGCTAAACCGCAAAGTGCCAAGGGCAGCGGGAGGAAGCCAGGTCTCTGCATCTCCGCACCCTCCAGGGACAGTCTCAGCCCAGAAACGTGTGTGTCATAGATTACCGCTGGTCTTATTGTAAGGACACAACATCATCCTCCTTTAAGACCTGGGAAAGCTGCGGTAGAAGCTGTAAGGCCTTCGCCTTCACATCAGTGTGTATGAGAAACACCTAGCAGAGAGCTCCAGATCAACCCCAGAATCTCACAAGTGGCTGACACCCTTTCCTGTCAAGGTTCCCCCAGGGATTAGCTCTTCAGTGTACAGCTGGACACTCCTCCCTCTTAAGTAATTTTTAATCCACTTATTGTCGTCGTCGTCTTCTTTTGAGAAAGGAAGAACTATGAAATTTATAGTTTTTTAAAAAACATTTCATTTAAGGATGTTTATTAATTAATTTTCTATTTTAAACGAACACTGATTAAACAGCAACATTTTACATTCCGTGGTGTATCTATTGTCTATACTTTATAACTTTATTATGTGATGCACTTAGGGCTTGTTAGAAATGTGGAATCTTGGTATACCCTAAATTAATTAATCAGAATCTCCAGTAATTCATGTGTACACTGAAGTTTGAAAAGCATAGTTTAGCATGCTTTAATAATTCTTAAAAATCCAGTTTGACCAAAAAATAGCAATGATTATTAGATAGTATGGAGTTAAATCCTCAGTGTTTTGTAAGAAATTTATTACTTTTTGAAGCTATTGCATTCATAAGGTAACATCAAATAAATGGGTGTATATCACATTAGCACCTACTTTCCACCATCAGTCTTATTTAATGTTAATGAAGAGATCAAGAGTTGACTGAAATTAATGTCTTGAGAACTTCTATGATTACTATGAGACAGTATTCAGCTGCACCAGGAGAAGGCTACACCAGTTTGGTAGGTGGAACATGAAAGGAAAAGAGAGGAAAATACAAATGGTGGTATCTGAGAAAACACTTGTTTGGCAGATAGAAAACAGAAAGGAATCACGGTAGGGAAGTACAAATGGTACTACCTGAGAAGAAAATAAAAATATACTGAATCCAGGAACCTGTCAAAGAAAAGGGAAAACGGAAGCCCTGAATTCCCAGTGTTCTTACTGAACATCCGGCAGTGGAGGTGGAATTCCAAAGTGCTTAAACCAATTCTACATACGAAACCTCTAACAAATTATAGAAAAGTTTTGAGGGGTGGAGAGACAGCTAGACTCCACATAACAAGCAAGGGAGTGATAGAGAAGCATGTCTCAGAAAAAATTCTCAGGTGACCACCAGCAGCAGGTAAGATACTTCAGTCCAACATTAAAGGATGTTTATAATACCTTAGTCTCCACAGCTAATTAACTGTGGAAATGTGAGAAGGAGGCTCTCCAGCACGGTAAACATTTTTAGTAGCTGCTGATGACAGTTTCCTTCTCAGGAATCCACATATTAAACATAAGTATATTGGGAAGCTAATATACACCAGGCATCCTTCTTGGTCTAGAATATAATGGTGAGCCCTATAGGCATGTCTGTGTTAAGAGAAGTCAGAGTGTTATGAGGAAACAGTCCCCCCCCCAAGGAAGCAGTTCATAAGGTTTTGAAATTTTGCCCAGAAGATAATAATGAAAAAAGTCCCCATGCTGTATTTTCAGCAGATAATAATTTTAAATCACTTTAGAGACAAAAACCAGAAACATGTTAATCAGGCAGGGTAATGGCTACCCTCCCAACATCATCTCTGCCTCACCTGATTTCATTCCTTCTTGGTAATTGCCAAATCCAGCTACAATGTGGGGGTCCCACTCTAGGCCTGAATAATAACTGACATGTAGCACTATGCAGAACCAGCACTTTTGTAAGTGATTGATGTAATTATTCATCCACTTACTCCCCAAGACAAATGTTTAAGGTGGGTATTACTATTATCCCTTTGTAAAGATTAAAAAACAGTGGGCACAGAGAGGTGTAATGATTTGCCCAAGGCCATACTTCTTGTAAAGGACAGTCTTTGAATCTAAAGCAGTGCTTTTAACCTGCACACTAGGGTGTGACTGGATTCCAATAGTAGAATTTTCTGTTAACTAAAAACCGAATTAACAGGTTTTTCAGCCCATGTCTGACTGATTCTGATACAGGTATAGGGATTTGCTAAGGGGATCCATTCTAGATATGAATAAGAGTATTGTCAGATAGAATTAGTTCCCAAAATGAAGCCAAGATATAATACTTTTGTTCTACAAAGTAATGTCATAAGGCCACTTTTTAAATTTTATTTTTTTGTAGTTGTAGATGGACAGAATGCCTTTGTTTTTATGTGGTGCTAAGGACTGACCCAGTGCCTCACACATGCTAGGAAAGTGCTGTACCACTGAGCTACAGCCTCAGCCCAATCTACTTTTAAGCAGTTGGCCAACACTGTGTTAGTTTTTATGATGGGAAATATATCCATGGCACCTCAATTCCATTCACTTGTTTAGAAAATGAGTTTAAAAGCAAATCAAATTAGAGATCAGTGAAGATGACTGATATTTTTGGCACTTAATAGGTTTTTGTCATTTAAGTATATAATATTTTAAGTGGTTACTAACAAGTTGCAGGATTGGATGCATATTTAAACAATTTAACTTCAAAGCTGAGTATATGCAAGGACATGAAAACCAAGTTGCAGGTGCTCTCTGCCTTCTGCCCTCTTCTGAAAGACAAAGGACTTTAAACTTCTCAATGCAAGAAGTTTAAAGCAAACAATTCTATCAGATTTTATATTTTATTCAAGGACTAGAATTGTCAGAGAAATAGCTGGATTTTCTTAAAAGGAAAAATGAGGTTGATGACTGACGGTGGAGGGTATTCCTGGAAGGAGTTGTTGGCAGGTAATTCTAGCCCACTTATCTTTAGGACACATCAGAAGCCACCACTCCACATTTTCTAATCCCCATGTGCTTTCTAAGGTGTGTGGCTTCGTTACTCATTCTCCCCTCTTCTGAAAAACAGCAAAACTAATAAAAGAAAATGTTCTCTGTGGATTTTATAAAACCGTAGAATAGGGAAAAGAGTCACATGTGCGATGCTTTTGCAGCCCACAGAGGGAAAGAGAAAGCCTCATAAAAGGTGGGGTGGGGCTGTTAAGAAGCCAACAGGCAGAGCCCTGGGAGGTTTAGTCACTATCAAGCTCGCATATTACCAGCTGCAAGGAGGGATTCCAGTACTAAGGGACACAAGACTTACCTGATACCTCCAGAGCCCACCAATGTCATCAGTCCTTTCAAAGCAAACAGGTTCCAAGTCTTCATCCAGACAGCACTTGATAGAAGAGAGCCCGGAGGCTCCAGCCCCAATCACAGAGATTCTTTGCTTGGTCATGGTCTTCAGAGATCTTCACCTGGCTAGGGCAATGCCACTTGTCCTGAAGAAAGAACAAGAGACAGAAAGCACACGTGTATCAACAGTTCTTAAGAAAGACAGCTGCCTTCACGCTCAAATGACTCTGGGTAGCCCTCTTTAGAAGGCATCTCCTGCAAGGCCCAGAGCTGAGGAGCACTGTGGTGTCATCTCACTCCCTCCCCTGAAGCACCTGGCTGATCCCTCAGCTGAGAAAGTTACTCTGGCTTTCTGCCTTAAAGAAACATCAACTAGGCAAGTACCCGCCCAGCCCAGGGGCAGGCACAGACTGGCCCCACCTCCTTGCAGCCCACGCCCCCACCCGCTCATGGGCTCCAATTCTCCCTCTCTTCACTGGAAGAAAACGTGGGTTGGATCTGCTTTGGAGAGGAAAAGAAATCGTGTACAACTTGTGTGTTTTTCAGCTGCGGTTGTGGGCGGTGCCCTTTTACTCCCCCTGGAGAGTCTTCTTATCTCCCGAGCTCCCCTACTGGCTGCCTCCACTTTCAACCTGCTGCTTTTCCCTTAAAGGGATGCACTCCTACCACTGAAGCCAAAGTGTAAACAACTCCCAAGCAAACTGAAGCGAATGCCTAAATGCAGAACAACTACATTCCTGGGCATCCACCCATCTAGGTGATCCTACCCTCTTCTCTGCCTCCTCCCCACCTCATGGCCTGTATCCTGGCTCTACCCTGCTGGTAGAAATTCACTTTAAAATCCCCACGCATGTTTTAAAATGCTTTTAGCTGAACTCTAGCTGGCTTCATTTCAACTCTTTAAAATCTGGTTAAAAATAGAATCTTTGACTTAAACAATCATTTTACTCCATCAGGAAGATGCCTGTCCAATATATGGTCTGAATTATATTAGAATACAGTTAGCACACAATGGTGAACAGATGGTCTCCACATCACCTCGTGGGAGCAGGAAAGAAGTGAGGATCAAAGGTGGAGTCCTGTGTGTGTGTGTGTGTGTGTGTGTACATATGTATATACATACATATATGTGAGGGGGGAAGTTACCAGGGATTGAACCCATGGTACTTAACCACTGAGCCACATGCTGTGATTTTTTATTTTGAGACAGGGTCTCACTAAGTTTCTTAGGGCCTCACTAAGTTGCTGAAGCTGGCTTTGAACCTGTGATCCTCCTGCCTCAACAACCTGAGCCACTGGGATTATAGGTGAGCACCACAGCATCCGGCAGAATGTTTATACTTTTTTATATGGTTCTGTCAAAACAGTTACTCATCAAAATATTCCTTATCTTTCAGTGGACACATCAAGATGACCCCATCACGTAATTCTTATTTTAAAGAGCTGCTATTAAATTTTGCTCTGGATTCTCTTCTCACTTTACTCCTGCAACACTTTATTAAAACCTTTATTTGGGGCTGGGATTGTGGCTCAGTGGTAGAGTGCTTGCCTAGCATGTGCAAGGTGCCTGGTTCGATCCTCAGCACCACATAAAAATAAATAAAATAAAGGTCTTGTGTTTTGCTACAACTAAAAAATAAATGAATATTTTAAAAAAAAAAAAACACCTTTATTTACTAGTGTCTGTCCTCACAGATTACCACCAAACAGAATGCTTTTTGTCACTAAGTACCTTCCGTCTAATGGTACTTTCTCCTAGAAAGAGACAGCAATGTCCTCCCTCCCTCCCTCCCTCTCTCTCTCTCCCTCCCTCCCTCCCTCCCTCCCTCTCTCTCTCTCCCAGTTACTTAAACGCATCTCCTTTGAGGTTTCAGAAGAATCCGTTTCTCATTCCATCCCTCCCAAGACGCATGGTAGGAGAAGGGCCCAGGGATGTTCAAGAGTAGGACACCTCATATGCAGCCATCAATTTCTATTACTGGGCACTGGAGAAGGCAGGCGGGTGTTCTCCAGTTAATGAATCACTGGACCCCAAGGAGCTATATCTGAATCTGAGAGAGACAACTGCATGTCACCCAGACATACAATTTAAGTGGGGTGCAGTAGCCAGATGGGACTGGGGTTGTCTTCCTTGGGGTGGGAATGAGCATATCAATGAGAAGAATTAACCTGGAATTTTAGTGGCTAGACAAGTAGCAGACACTACTGGATACCCATTAAAATGTTATCTCCTCCTCTTACTATATAATATATCCCTTTGGAATGGGATTTCCTAATGAGGAACTGCATTTTCCTGGTTCTTTTTGAAGCTATGCATAAATTCATTATTAAATTATCACCAAGGAACAGAAGAAGAGAAAATGTGAGCAACTTTGACCTAAACTTTTTAAAGAAAACATCTTGATCTAGTCTTCTACTCCTTCTCCTTTTTTTTTTTTTTTTTGTTTGGAATGTTGATAACCAGACTTCTGGAAGCCAGGAATTGAAGTTGGTAGGTTTGAAATAGTCAGGGACCTCCATCCATGGAAAAAGGACCCTTTAGGACTAAGGGATAGACACCTTAGGGGAAATAAGACAACCCAGCGAGCTCTCAGTCTTACGGGGTTAAGAGTTGTACTAAAAAATCTCAAGTTAAAAGTACACCAGTCTTCAAGACCATGGGAGTGAATCACACACCAGGAGACAGGAGGCTGGGAAAGTCATCTCCGCCTCCTGAGACTACGTGGTCAGCACATAGGCCAGCTAGGCCAGACAAAGCAAGGTCTGCACTATTCTGAAAATATTAATAACAGACAAAAACATGAAAAAATGTCCTTCAACATCTCTAACAATTACAGAAATGCAAATTAAAACTACGCTACGAGTCCATCTCACTTGAGAATAGTCATTATCAAGAATACAAGTAACAGTAAATGTTGGCGAGGCTGGGGGGAAAAGGTTCACTCACACATTGCTGGTGGGACTGCAAATGGGTACAACCACTCTGGAAAGCAGTATGGAGATTCCTCAGAAAACCTGGAATGGAATCACCATGTGACCCAGTAATCCCATGCCTTGGGTTAAATGCAAAGAACTTAAAATCAGCACACTACAGTGACATAGCCACATCAATGTTCATAGCAGCTCAAATTGAGAATAGCTAAGCTACGGAACTAAGTAGGTGCCCTTCAACAGATGAATGGATAAAGCAACTGTGGCAACTGTGGTATATACACACAATGAAATATTCCTGAGCCATAGGAAGAATGAGACGATAGCATTTGCTGGTAAATGGCTGGAACTGGAGACTATCATACTAAGGGGAATAAGCCAATCCCCCAAAACCAAAGGCTGAATGTTCTGATAAGCAGATGCTAGCACACAATAAGGCAGGGAGAGAAAAGAACAGAAATACTTTAGATTAGACAAAGGGGAATGAAGGGAAGGGAAGGGATGAGAATAGGAAAAACAGTAAAATGAATTGGACATCACTTTCCTATGTTCCTATACACATATATGAGCAGTATAACTCCACATCATGAACAACCACAAGAATGGGAAGTTATACTCCATGTATGGATAACATGCCAAAATATATTCTACTGCCATATATAACTAAAAAGAACAAATTTTAAAAATAAATTAAAAAAAGAAAATATTAATGGCAGAGACTCTCCTAGATAATAAGTGCTCTAGGTGATGAGGGCCAACGCATGGGCAGAATGTCATTAGTTAACCAACAGTTACCTTGACCTTATTCTCATAGACCTAAGGTGGGGACGTAAGCTGGAAATGAGATATGAGATACAGGACACATGAAGAGGTGTGATGGAGACTCAGGCCCAGCTGAAGTTCCACCTCTACAGGTGAGGACATTGAGACACACACACACACATCTATGCACATACAGATACTTTTTGAAAATGATATGAATACTTACATGAAAGTTTAGGAAAGATTTTAACCACCATGGAACTTATTTGGTTTGTTTAGGAAAGATTTTAACCACCATGGAACTTATTTGGTTTGTATAGTTTTCATGGCAGGGGGTAGGAACCATCCGATCAGGCACATTTAAAGCTTCAACTCTGACACCACATCCATTCACATTCCAAAACACTGGACATGGGCTCTGCCCATTCAGAGAAACAGAAATCCACATGTCTGAGGGCTGGATGCACAATAATCCCACAAGGGAGACAGTGGATAGTTGGGAATAGGAATACAACCTACCAGAGTCGGCTACCCATGACACTCGGTCTGTTTACCTTCAAGACCACAGCTGTGGGCCATGCCTGTGGACTTCCAAGGTAAGGAGATTACCGCGGTACCTCGACCATGAGAGATAACTCTTGACCTCTGGAGTCTTTACTGGTGAGATGCGGGCAGGTTTATTTCCATCTAATGTGTTTTGGTCCTTCACAATATCCTGAAAATTCAAATCTGTTTATATATGTATAAACAAATATAGACAATATATAAAAGGTGGTCTCATTTAGTGTTCACCACAGTGCTAAAGGACAGCTCCCACTGTCCTCACTGTGAATCACCATGCATCAGGGGCCTTTCAGATGAACTCAGGTTGTTCAGGGCTCTGATGTCGAAGATTGTTTTACATGCCATTTTTGAGCATTTTGGCTTAACTTTGCAACTGTACCTCAGCAACACAGATACATGTGCAACAGGTATGTTCATTTTCATACCTAAGGCCCAGGCTTTGTGAAGTTAGGATATAAGACGGCTTTGGGTTCTTACCAACCCAGAGGAAGAGGAAGTCAGAGAGAGTTCTTAGGGTTTCAGTATAGGCTGAATCATGAGAATATTTTGGCTTCATGTAATTTTATTATTGATAACTGGCTGCTTATGTAGAAATTTGTCAGAAAAGTTCAGCACTAGTAAACTCAAAAGCTTCAGGGGCTGGCTAAGTGGATCACATAAAACCTTTCCTGCTGGACAGAGAACAAAAAGTGAAATCATTGTGACTAATTTGAAAACATATTCAATTAGAGAGGAAAATAAAAGCTGGGTATGAAGGCACATGCTCCTTATCATAGCTATTCAGGAGGGTAATGCAAGAGGATTGTGAGTTTGAGGCCAGCACTGGCAACTTAAAATTAAATTAAATTAAATTAAATTAAAAGGGGTGGGGATGCGGCTTATTAGGAAG